GGCGCGGAGCGGGACGGCGGCGGCGGCGGGGCGCAGCAAGTGTATTCATATTCAAACAAACGGACCAATTGCGCCGGGCGGGGAGCGGGAGCGGCCAATCGGCTGGCGCGAGGCCCCGGCGCTGCTTTGCATAAAGCAATATTTTGTGTGGGAGCGAGCGGCGCATTTGCATGTTGCGGAGTGATTAGTGGGTTTGAAAAGCGAACCGTGGCTCGGCCCCATTTCCCGCTCTGGTTCAGGCGCAGGAGGAAGTGTTTTGCTGGAGGATGATGACAGAGGTCAGGCTCCGCTAATGGGCCCGTGAGGAGCGTGGCGGCGAGGCCGGGCGCCGCGCACACACATTAGCACACTGAGCACCACCGACCACTTAGGTGTGCTGGCCGCGGCCGCTTCCCCGCGCTCTCATCTCGCACGCTGCAGCCCTGACAGCCGCTTCATTGTCACTCTGTCTCCCTCCCAGGGATCCCGGCGTTGCTCTCGCTCTCGAGCCCTGCAGCAGCGTCCGTGGAGAAAACTCTCACGAGCAGCTCCTCTCAGGCACCGTACTTGCCAACCGTTGTGGTCTTTAAGTAGCGGCGGCAGAAAAAACCCAAAAAGCAAAAGAGCATCCAAAAATCCCCCAGCCCCACAAAAGTCTTGACAGGAGCTTTGGCCGCCAGCGAGCCAGGATGCCTCCTAAAGGTGAGTGGCCTCTTCCTTCTTTATCTGATCGCCATCAGCGAGGCTGGTCCCTGACCGTGTCCCCTCCTCGCGTCCCTCCCTTACCCTGAGGGACCGCGAGGCCGGAGAAGTTTCCCGGCCAGAGCCCAAACTTTCTCCCGCGCCCCGGAGCCTGCATCGAGGGCTCCAGCCGGGGTGCGCCGCTTGGGGCGCGGGCTTGCGACGCGGGCGAGCTCGCGGGAAGCAGAGGCTGCAGCGCCGCCCTGGGGCCCGGCGCCCCCGAAGCTCCCGGGCTGGCGGCGAGGACGAAGGTGGCTGCGCTGTGCTTGGGCCCCGAACGGCCGCAGAGACCGGCCGCTTTGTCCAGCGCGGGCCGTGGGCGCGCAGATGGGGGACCCGGAGCCGCGCGCACCCGGCTTTGTGCGACTGGGCTGCAGCGCGGAGGAGTCTTAGCCCTCAGCGCCCCGCGGCGTCTGGCCGGAGGCAGCCCGGGCCGAGTGATCGGTGAGGCGGCCACACGCGCGCTCGGGGACTCCGCCGGGAACCAAGCCACCAGGCCCGGGAGGCGGCGGACGTGCGCGGCGCGGCACCTCGGCCATGCGAGCCGGGATTGTCAGCTTCCTCAGGCCAAGGCACTGCCTGCACTCCAAAGCCCAACTTGAGCGCCGTGCTCAGACTTGGAAACTGGGGCTCCGCGGGCTCCCCCTGCCTTGACCCCGGCCCTGCAAAACGCGGCGCACTCCGCCTCGGCCTCCTGCGCGGTGGGTATTTTTTTCCCTTGTCTTCCTGTGACCATATCGCCGGCAGGATTGCCATTTCAACAAGTTTGAAGCTGGAAAGGTCTGGAAAGGTGGATTGCCTTTTTCTTTTTTCTTTCCCTCTGAATACCGATTTTTTTTTTTTTTCTTTGTGTGGGCTTTTAAAAACAACCTATATGAAATCTTGTCTTTCCCTCTTCCTCGGATCACCTCCTCTCCCAGCTAATTAGTTGCAGTAATTCGAGAGCTTTTGGATTCTAAGACCCCGGGAGGAAAGTGTCTTTTCAAAGTTCATAAAGTTGTTGCCTCTTTCCCGGAGTAGATTTTCTCAGTCTCCCTGCGCCATAATAGCCCTGAATTTTAGCAAGTGTAATTGGGGGAAATGGAGTTGAATTTCAAGTGGAAACGCTTTTCTTTTTCGAGTGCTAAAACCTGGCCCTTCAGCCTTGAGTGATTTCTAGAAAGTTTAAAAACAAAGTAAATGTGGTTTCTTTCTTTCTTCCTTCCTCACCCGCCCCAAAGCTCTCTAAGCCATTCTGGGCGTTTAACTGGAGCTTGGGAAGGTTTGGAGAGGGCGGCCGCAGAAATGAAAGCAAAGTGCCTCCAAGTCTTGCCGAGCACCGAGGGGAAAAATAGTTGTTGCCGCTGACATTACAATTTTTACAGCCTGTGACCTCCGCAGACGTCTGAAGGAGATTTGATTATTTGTTATCTTACTTGGCCCTGGAGAGTAAAACTTTGTCATCCTAATTGCTAATTACTCTCTGGCCCAGGGGCAGGAGGAGGGAAGGAGCATTCTCCCCTTTACCCCTTGGGGCTAGGTTTTGAAAATTAATAAAAGCAACAGCGGCATTGGGGAGCTGAGGCCTGTGTGTGGACCCGCAGGGGGCCGTGGCTGTGGGGACCACGGCCTGGGTGGCGTGGGAGATTTCTGGAACCTCCTTCACTCTGGATGCGGCTCGGTGGCCCCATGAAGCTGCAGCAACCCCGGCCGGGTTGGGAGTTCAGGCTGCAGCCGGGATCAGGCCTCTGAGACACAACTGCTTCCGGTGTCCTACCCCGGCTTCCCGGGTAGCTTTTGCTTAAAAGTATTAACAATTCCTTAAGTAATTAGAGAGCTTCTCAGCCGAGAGCTGGTGAGGAGGGAGCAGAGCCGGAACTTGGGATGGTCGCACCTTCCCAGCTGCTTCGAAAATTAATCAGCGAGGCCTTTCAGGGATCTGCCAGGGAATTTTCTAAAATGGCATCAAGAAGTACCAGCCGGGAAGGGGGCACTGGTTTGCACTGTGTGCAGCGTGGGACAGGAGTTCACAGGTTTTACACCTCCGAGTGAAGCCCCACGCTAAGGGAGGGACCTCCGGGTCCCAGCTGGGTTTCCTCCCACTCGCACAGGGCTGCAGTTGGGCCTGCAGAGGAGAGAGAGGGGCCTTGGAGAGCCAAAGGCGGCAAAGTCCCGCCCTGGAGAGGCAGCATTTACCACGCCACGATCGATCGGAAGCTGAGGAAAAAGTCCTTGGTGAGGTTTATTTTTCTGGATTTAAGCCACTGCCTAGTTAGTTAAAAATCAGTGGACAAATAGCTTCAAAGACAAGAATGCACAGGCGAAAGAAGGAAAAAGCTAATTTTTAAAAAGCGGATAGAAATGAAGCTGTGACTGTGATGTTATGGTGCCTCTTTTGAGGGCGAACCTCCGGAGAGGGCTCTTGGTTGTACTCTTTCCACTTGAGCGGCCCACAACGCCCTTGTATCTTTTTACTGCCCCTGAACAACTCACAAGGGTAGCACAATTACCCGGATATGTGTAAGGAGAAACGATGTTTCTAATTTTTCTCTTCCCCACACCAGAAGGAGAGGGCGACTGGAGGGTGAGGCCTGCCGGCTCTGGGTCTCCACTAGAGAAGGTCCTCTCTCCTGGCCAGTTGGGAGCTGTTGCTTGGAACCTTGGGGCCTGGGCTTGCTCCGCGAGAGCAGGAACAGCAGCCATTGTTCGCGTCTGGAGGCGCTGCCGGCCACGCTCACCCCCTCCTGTTCGCACTTTTTAAGCAGCTAGCCGAGGTGGACAGCATGTGTCACTGTGCAGGACAGGGGCACGATCTAAACACTCAGATTGCCAGAAGCAAGGGGGGAATTGGGCTTGTGATTACTTGCTGAACTCCAGAAGGCTGGGAGAGACGAAGGGGGCTGTCCCGGCAGCCTTGGGCCCAGCAAAGGGGTAACCAGAGGCTTGGGACCAGAGGTGGCCGAAGTACTCACGGAAGGAGGGGTGCAGCCCTGCAGCCCTTCTCCAGCCTGCACCTGCAGGGCGGGCTGTCACGTTCTCAGAGTTTCCCTCCCCTGAACTTGCAAACTTAGGGCCAGCCGCCCTTCCTCCCAGCCCTCAGTCCGGCTCCATCGCAGGTCCCGTGGTTTCCTTGCCCCTTCCCGTGGACCCTGATATTTTTGCAAAGTGAGAGCCTCATTCTTAAGATTCTCCAGTTCTCCCAGCCCAGCCCAGAGCACCCTTCTCCACTGGGTGGTGCGTCCAGTGTCGGGGGCCACCGGGAATGTGGGTGCCCTGCTGGGATCTGGATTTCACAGAGGGGCTGAGTCCTGAAACCCATTTGGCCCGAGATAGGACTGGAGCTGTATCACTCGCACTTTCACCTACCCCTGTCTCCCTGTGTTCTGTCTTAGGGGGAAGACTTTAGGGGTGAACAGATGTGTGAAGCTTCCTATTCGGAGAGTGGACAGACATCCTCGATTTCAGGCAAGTTCTGTGGTACTGTCCTGGGCTACAATGAAAGAGTCCAAACAAACTGTTGTAGAATATTTCTGCATTAGGGTTCAGATAGAAGAAAAAATTCAAAATCAGGTCATGGTTTCCCCTAATGGAAGGATCTGGTGGAGCTCCGTTGGGAACGTCGGGCTGTTGCCTGAAGCACTAGAGTGCTTTGACCTCCCCAGGAGCAGTGGATTCGTTTCCAAATAAGGCTGATTCCATGGGCCCAGGTTGCGGGTGGGGATCAGGCCTGCCTGGTGTAGCACGGGGTTTAACTCCTTTCTCCTGCTGACAGCGCCCCGCACTCCAGCCCCGAGGGACCCCGCAGCCCCCAGCCAGTGCCAGCATGCAGAACAGTAAGTGCCAGGCCTGGGGCTGCGGGGGGGCTGCGGGAGGCGGGGACCCTCAGGAGGGATGGCAGGGCCGAGCCTGCAGAGCTGGCTGTGCGGGTGGAGACACCCCATCCCCCCAAATCCTGTAACTCTCTCCTCCCCCCCTGCCCGGGCTCTGACCCTAGCGAGGGGCCGGCGTGTGGGGCGGGGCGAGCCCGGGGCTGAGGCCCCTGGGCGCGGCTGCTGCAGCGGCATCCTGAGCTCAGGCGGGGTAGGGGCTGTGGCCTGGGGCCCGGTGCCGGCTAGGCCTGGTAGGTGGGGTGGGGGCCGCCTGCACTGGGGCTGCCCCGAGCATCTTGGGTCTCCCCAACACCGTGCCCCCCACTCGACCCCGGGGCCCCAGCTGCGCCTGCTCAGTGCTATCTGGCAGGAGCTGGCCTAGGATCTGCTCTGGAGGCTTCGGCTGTGCAAGGCCTGGTCTTCTGCAGCCTGGAACCCAGATGGCCGCTCTAGGCTTACCCAGCACCTGGGCAGGTGGGCGCGGGGCTCCGAAAGGGGCACAGGTGACGACCCTGGCATCTCGGCCTCCTGGCCGAGTGCGCAGCCCAAGGGCCTGGGGCTCAGCTCATGGTGTGCGAGGTGCGGAGCTTTTAAATTGGCACCATATGTTTTCCTATTGGAGACTTCGCGGTCGAATTCGAGGCGCACAATCATCGCCCCTGGGCGAGCGCTTGGCGTCCCCAGGGAGGGACGCGATGATTGAGGCTTAACCTTGGGCGGATCAGAGCGCGGCCTCGCTGCCTTTTCAGCGCTGGCGGAGGCGCTGGCCGGGGATGGCTCGTGCTCCGTGCAGTGAGGCCTGGGCTTCGCGACTCGGTGCCCCGGCGCAGGAGTCTGCAGAACCCCCGTGGCTCGTCCCAGGAGGCGCCCCCAGTCCCAGATGCAGTTCCCTGGGTAGCTTTGAGGACCAGGCAGGGGTGGCGAGGCTCAGCAGCAGGGGAGGCCTGCTGGCTGGAGGGGCGCTGTCCCCGCCAAGTCCAGGCCGCAGCCCAGAGCCCCAAACGCCTGTCACTTCTCATTGCGCTGAGGCCCTGGCCCCCCTCACAAAGGACCCCCCCACCCCAGCCTTGGGCTACCCCGAAACCTCGGCGCCCCTCGAAGGGGAAAGGGGCGCAGTCCAATCTCGTCTGAGTGATCTACAAATAGGGACGGAAGGGGTCGTTTTATCACGGTCCCGTTTGTCGTGACGATGCAATTTCCCGGAGCGGAGCTCTGTCAGAAAGTGACAGGGCTGCCACCAGCGCCCGACTGATCTTTTCAATTAGCCTTCCGTGCATGATCCGGAGCGACTTCCGCCTATTTCCAGAAATTAAGCTCAAACTTGACGTGCAGCTCGTTTTATTTTAAAGACAAATGTCAGAGAGGCTCATCATATTTTCCCCCCTCTCCTATATTTGGAGCTTATTTATTGCTAAGAAGCTCAGGCTCCTGGAGTCAATTTATCAGGAGGCTCCAAGGAGCAGAGAAGAGAGGAGCGGAGACAGGCGCAGCCGCTGAGCCCAGCTTCTCCCGCGAGGGCTGCTCTAGGTTCGGGCTGCAGGTTGGAGATTTTAAAGGCCGGACCTTGGGGGCCAGCCGCCTCTGCGCCGAGGTTTGGGGGTTCCCTGGTCCCCAAGATCAGACAATAGGAGGGGGCTCTGGGTGTGGAGGAGGAGCGGCACTGGGCTCTGGGCTTTGCCGTGGGTCTCGTCTTGGACTTTGGCTGTGGTGACCTAACGGAGGGCTGGATGGGCTTCAGCAGGGGAAGGAAGGGACGGTGTTCTGTGGGACTCGGGGACAGCTACCTTTTCCCTCGCACTCCTCCAGTGGCCTCGAGGTCACCGGGACGCAAACTGGGGCTCTCTGCTTGGCCACCCTGGTTTTCAGTTCCTTTCCCTCTTCTGTGAAAGAACAAAAACAAGGCAGCCAGGCCAGTACTGAGCTTCACCGCGGAGTTCAGGTGGTGACTCCACCACCCTCTGGAATTTGGCTCCAAGGCAGGGGATGTGGGATGCTGGGGCTGCGTTGCCCCGAGGGTCAGTGGGACAGCAGGTCGCAGCCTGTGGGGATGCCCTAGCGTTTCTGGGAGGAAAGGAGGGTCTGCCGGACAGGCTTGGAAGCCTTGGGCTCCTGCAGAGGGTGGCTGTGGCAGCGCATGGGCCCAGGTGTCCCCTCCGGGGCTCCTTGGTGAGTGTCAGCTCCGAGGCCGGCGCAGTTGGGAAGGGGCGGCTGGTGCGGGCTGGGCTGCCTGCGGCCTGTCTGGCCTGTGGTCTTGTTGTGTGGCTTTCTTGCTGCACAGCAAGGACCGTGCACTGGTACGGGTTAGCAGGGAGCTGAGCGTGCATCGTGGTTGTTTCTCTCTCTTCTTTTTTCCGCTCCCTCTCCTTTGCTTCCTCTTCCTTCTTTTTTCCCTCTTCCTCCTCCTCTCCTTTCTCCCTCTGGACCTCTTCTCCTCTCCTCATCTCCTGCCCCTTGCCTCAGGTCACAGTGGTGTGAATCAGCTCGGTGGTGTCTTTGTCAACGGGCGGCCACTGCCGGACTCCACCCGGCAGAAGATTGTGGAACTTGCGCACAGTGGGGCCCGGCCGTGCGACATCTCCCGAATTCTGCAGGTGATCCTCCCGGCCCTGCCGGCTCCACTCTCCGCGCCCTCTCTTCATTTCCTCCTGCAAACGCTGCGCTGCCGGATCCCACCTCACCCTGTCTTCCAGCTTTCCTCTCTTCCCCTGTCTTCCCCTGTCTCTTCCGACCTGAGTCAGTTACATAAGAGAATTCATCTGCTTCAGAAAAAATGATGTGTGTATTATTAGTACCCCTTCCCCTGTCCACGTGGCGGGGACACCACGGTGTAACAGTTCACACACTGCAAAGAGCTGAGGGCTGGAACCTGAACCACCGAAGCCCCTCTCTGTTCCCAGAGAGATGGGCCTGTCCTTCCTGCTGATGCAGGGCACATGCCCATCCGGAAAGGAAAGTGCCATCCCCTGCGCTTTTCCTTATTTGGGCATTTTTTAAATAAAAAAGTAAAAATTCAATTTATTTCTCCCCTTTGCTTGTTAGAACATAACACCCCTCGGAGCAAGGTCAGCCAAAATTGTGGTTTATTTCGTTTTGATGCATCTTCTGCCAGTACTTAGAAAGAGTTTTTTTAATTTTTCAAGATTTTTTTTTTAGTGCAAGATGTTTGAAAGTCTCACCCTATTTGTAGCTTTTAGGGCTACCAATGTAACTTTAAGAAAGAAAAGCACTACAGTGAGCTCTCGTACCATTGAAGGTATATTTTTGTGTTATAGACCCATGCAGATGCAAAAGTCCAAGTGCTGGACAATCAAAACGTAAGCTTGTCATTGTTTAATGCATACTTACACAATTTTATTTTTGTCTTGAAATTATTAATAATGTGGTTTTCTGTCCACTTCCCCAATGCAGGTGTCCAACGGGTGTGTGAGTAAAATCCTGGGCAGGTATTACGAGACCGGCTCCATCCGACCCAGGGCCATTGGGGGCAGCAAACCCCGAGTAGCGACCCCAGAAGTTGTGAGCAAAATAGCCCAGTACAAGCGGGAGTGCCCGTCCATCTTTGCCTGGGAAATCCGAGACAGATTGCTGTCCGAGGGGGTCTGTACCAACGACAACATACCAAGTGTGAGTTCTCCTTCTTCCTCCAGTGACTGGGGACCCAGAGGGGGCCCTGAGCTTTGCTGACCTTCTGGAAACTGGGAGTCAGTTTGGGGGAGGAGTTCTCGTCCAGCAAACCCGGGGCAGGTGGCAGTTGCTTGTGGGTTGGGAGCAGCCCTGGGGTCCAGGAGGAAGGTACAAATGAAGGGCAGGTCCCACCCCTGCAGGGTACCTGCCAGAGCCCCGTGGGGAGGGGACCTGCCCCAGGTCTCACCTGAGCCTGCTCCAAGGGAGGCCACCTCTGCCCAGCCCGGCCTCCCCACCGCTCTGTGCACACTGTCTGCATCAGGGCAGCTGGAGCGCTCTCCTGTGGAGAGCCCCTCTGTGGTGGGCTGTGAGCAAGCGAGGTGGGGCTGGGGTGGCTGCATCTGTGGGCAAAGCTGCCATGTGCTCTGATTTTGGTTGATCTGCAGGTGTCATCAATAAACAGAGTTCTTCGCAACCTGGCTAGCGAAAAGCAACAGATGGGTGCAGACGGCATGTATGATAAACTAAGGATGTTGAATGGGCAGACCGGAAGCTGGGGCACCCGCCCGGGGTGGTATCCGGGAACGTCCGTGCCTGGGCAGCCCACACAGGGTAAGAGCCAAGTGGCCCTCCAACTGTACTGAGCAGCCCCTCTAGGCGTGGGTGTCGGGCGCCCTGGGGGCCTGCGTCAAGGTCTGGGCATGGCAAAGGCATCAGTGTGGGGTGTGGTCGTAGGCCTGACAGAAGTGGCAGGTGGAGCATGTATGCGAGAAGGAGCGGGAGCGCAGCAGGCTGTCACACCGCCTTCTGCAGCCCTGTGCCGATAGCCCTCAGTGAGCAGCTCTGTGCCTGCACTGGCACCTGTGGGCTTGAGTTGGTGCACTTACGGTGAAGGGCTGCTGCCAGGCAGGTCCGTGGGCAGTGGGGGTGGGGCCGCAGCCCCCACCAGCCATCGTCCTTTACCTGCTCTGTTCTCCTGTTGGTGGGGACCTAGCCCACCTCAGTGGGTGGCCACCATCTCAGTGGAGTAGAGCCAGGGCCACTGCAGAGGGATGGCAGGCGGGGTGGGGAGGACTGGCCCCAGGAGGTGTTCAGTGCAGCTAGGAAGCAGTGGGCCAAGGTGGACCGCCCAGCGCTGTGCCACAGCAGGGAGATATGATGAGTGGGAAGACGCTGGCATCCCCCGGGGGAGACCCCAGGACCCCGGGGCTCTGTGTCCTGTGCCTCACTGGCCAGTGAGGGCAAGGGAATCAGCAACAGTATTCGGAATATCTGGTACAAAGGATGCTTCTGTCACTTGCAAGAATTTGTTATGGGAACAATCCTGTCGCTCTGTAATTGCTCATTAGAGAACGTTTTGTTTCTCATTAAGGCGACATGAATAAGCGTCTAGTTGGAGGAGACAGCTGTAGAAATGTTCCACAAGAGACCTCTGGACACGACTCGGCACCAATTGCCAATTAGACATGTCAGTTTTAAGAGCAGGAAACAATATAGGACGGACACTGGGAAGATAGGGGCCGCGGTGTCGTGGTGCTGGGAGCGCAGTGAGCATAGCAGTCAGTACCCTCCCACAGTCCTGCCGGGGTCCTGGGGAGGGTACGTGCCAGGCTGGGCTCTGCAGCAAGAGGACCCCTCCTCTTCCCACCATAGGTGGCGCTGTTTGGGCGGTTGCCTCCTAGGGGCTGTGGTGACCTTGGGCCTGGGGGTGGTGTTGGCTGGGGCACTGAATTGTCACATGTGCCCTCGCCCTGGTGCACGTGGGAACGTGGGGGACATGGACACGGCATGCTCAGACCCCCCCCCCCCGGGATTTGGAGTCCAACACCCAAGAGACAGATCTGATCTCCACCTGACCCAGCTCCAGTGGGTGGAAACGGTGACAGCCTTGGGACGGCTCTCTGGGCCCAGGTCCTGTGGTTGGGCTAGAGATCCAGCAGGAGAAACTGCCCTGCCCTTGTCCCCAGACCACTCGAAAGACTCCCCTCCTTTGTCACCAGGTCACTAGGGGTTCAATCCTGTCCCCTCCTCCCTCCATCCCCAGAGGCCTGGGTTTGATCTGTGCAGCCGAGAAGGTGCTGCCGCTATCTTTTCTTGCTTGGTTTCCGCCTCACTGCTTGCGACACTAAGAAACCAAGGAATGATTTTCTTTCCTGGCCTCTTTCTTCTCCCCCTCCTCCTCCCCCTCCTCCTCCTCCTCCCCCTCCTCCCCCCCTCCTCCAGGACACAAATCCCATTCCCAGCGAGGGGTGCGTAGGGCCTGCGGTGTGGATAAGGGGTCATCACCCCTCTCTCAGCCTTCATGCAGGGTGGGGAGCAGCGTCCATCCTGAGACTTTTAGGAGGTTGGGGGGAGGGAAAGCCCCTGAGGGGCCAGGAGGATGCCTAGTCTGAGTGGCACTGTCACAGCCTTGCTGGGGACAGCTGCTACTTTCCAAATGGCCAGGGGAACCCAGGACGCGAGCTGACCTGGGGGCTGGGGCCTCTGGCCCCACTTCTACTTGCTGGTCCTGAATTGCACTTTTTTAAAAAGAGGATTTAAAATCAAGTTGCTGGTTCCCTGCTGACATTTCCCCTCAAGTGTCGGGCCCACATGGCAAGCTTGCTGAAGGGCGTGCAGGGTGCCTGCATGTGCACGCAGACGTGTGTTCATACACATGTATGTGTGCATGTGTGTGGCCCTTGGTCTCTGCCCATCCTGGGAGACCAGGCAGCCCCACCAAGCTGCGGGCAGAGTCTTCCCAGGGACCCAGTACCCTAGCTGGGCGTGCAGCTCATGGTGGCAGGAAGGCAGGGGACAGGGTTCCCCAGCTGCAGTCCAGGCGTTTCTGGGCATCCTCCCCACACCCACACAAAGTGGGGGTGCTCTTCCTGTCTTCCTCCTCAAGAGTTGCAGCCAGGGCAGTTAGGACCCACACGTTGTTCCAGGAGCACCCCAGGAAGAAGGCATCAGGCCCTGCCTTTCCCTTTTTCCTATCATTTCCTCTCATGCCTTCCTGGCCTCCGGCTTTCTCCTTACATCTTGGTGTGGGTTTCTGGGCCCTCTGCACCCACACACACCATGTGGAGCAAGGAGGCCCCACCTTCATCTAGCCTGGCCCCCGAACCCTTCATCCTGCCCTGTCACCGTTCCTCCTCCCCCTACCCCCCCCCGCTCAGTCCCCTCCCCTGGTCCAGTCCCCTCCTGGTCCCCATCCCCACCCGGCGGCATCCTGCATGGGGAAGGCCCCATGCCCTGCTTGGGACAGTGATTAATGATAGCAGAGCCGAGGGGTTAACACACTGCGCTGAAAAGTCTGTTGACTGGCTTCTTGTAACACAATGTGGCCCGCTGCACGCCTCAAGAGAATCCTTTTGTTGCCTGTGCTCATTGTGGCCTCAAAATTCTGCCCACGAAAGTTTGCCAACGCTGCTGCCCAGGCGCTTAATGGTTTCCCTTACTCGCGGGGCTTTGTGCGTGCTCAAAAGCGGCCCCGCGCTATTCAAGTGTTGGTGGTCATCTCAATAGATCTCCGAGGGCCCATATGGTGGCCAGTGCCGATGAATCCGCCTGTTTAAATGGGGGAGAAAGTTGGGGTTTTAAAACATTTCAGAGTTCCTGAAAGGATCCCACTAGATCCTGTCACAATTCCCCGGGCTCTTTGAAGGCGCTGCCCATTGTGTCCCGGTTATAAATGATATTCCTGGCCAAGTGGATTCCCACCGTCCGCCCGCCCCTCCCCTGCAGCTGCCTGTCCACCACTGTCCCTTGGGGGTGTCCCTTGGCGGTCTCAGGACCCAGGGTCCGGCCCGTGTGGCCTGAGTCCCTCCCCTCAGACAGGCAAGGTGGGAGACAGAGACAGCCTGAGCACACATCTTGCCGACCGAGCGGCAAAGGAAAACAATAAAACTTTCCCCTGTGTAATGATAGAAATTACATTAAAAGTAGTGGAAATGCCCTAATTAAAAACGTGCCACTTGGAGGAGATGCCTAGTGTTCAGCTGCGGCGCAGCACATTGAGTGAGTTAGTGAACTCTGTTTCTTTTTTAAAATTACACGTTAAAAATTTAAAAGAAATCTTACTTTTCTCTGGTGCAACACATTACAAAGAATGGACAGTCCTTTTATCTAAATATAAAATTCCATTTTCAGCAATTATAGCCTGTTCTTGGTGATGCTATAATTACAGCTGTGCTCGTAATAGGTGTCAAGGCGACGCGCACTCACACAATAGTTGAATAAAACTGCAGAACAATGCAAGTACTTCTAAATTCACAACCTTTAAAATGAAATTGACTGTGCAGAATTCAAATAAAAACTAGATAAATATTTTTTTAAAAAGATTACAAGCTTGGTTTGGTTTCTTAATAGCATTTTCTACAAACCTATCAACATCTAATTGATTAGATGGGAATTACTGATTATAGATCAGCTGAAATCCCGCTTATCACTCTGGTATTTTCCCAACACAGCCGTAGGTAGAGGTGTTGGGGGGCGGTGGGGTGGGGAAGCTCTTGGGTGTCCGGGCTGCTTGCCTTTAGTGATTGTTTTCTCACCTGGGCGAGTGCCATTTGCCTCCGTGGACAGCACCGTCTCCACTTGGTAAAAGCAGGGAGGACGGAATGGCAGCCAGGTTCCCAGCCTTGCCGGCATCTTCCCAGAAAAAAGCAGCCACCTGGCTACCTCGGGCATGCCGGCGACACTGTCACAGCCAGGGGCCCGGGCCTGCCGAGGTCCCCTCCGGCCTCTCACGGCCCCTTTCTGTCTAGATGGGTGCCAGCAGCAGGAAGGTGCGGGCGAGAACGCCAACTCCATCAGCTCCAACGGGGAAGACTCGGACGAGGCGCAGATGCGGCTGCAGCTGAAGCGGAAGCTGCAGCGAAACAGGACGTCTTTCACTCAGGAGCAGATCGAGGCCCTGGAGAAAGGTGCTGGCCGGCAGGGCTTGGGGCCAGTACCGTGCCCAGGACAGGCTGGCTCCGGCCAGGGCTGCGCATGGAGGGCAGCACAGCATCCTCTTTGCTTTCTGTCTTTTTATATTCTCTGGGTATCTCCTTGAGGTGCACCTCTTCTTTGTACATCCCACTAATTCAAGGGTGACAAGTCAGACTTAGAAAGGGAGCATGGTAATCTGGCTGTTTCGAGCAGAGTGTCACTGGGCCATTCCAAAGACATCTGCCTGGTGCCCATGCCAGTAGCTCGCCCGTGAGTGTAGCCAACGGGAACTGGTGGATGGGGGTGACCGTGGGCTGGGTCGCACCTTCGAGTTCTTGAGGCGTCGTGTGATATTGGCTTCCTCTTGCAGAGTTTGAGAGAACCCATTATCCCGACGTGTTTGCTCGGGAAAGACTAGCGGCCAAAATCGACCTGCCAGAAGCGAGGATACAGGTACGGCCCGTGCGGGGCAGCGGGCCCCTCAGGCATGGAACCCCTTGGCTCCGGTGTGCCAGGCCCCACAGGGCGGGCCAGGCTGAGCGGGGCTCTCCTCTGCTCTCCAGGTCTGGTTTTCTAACAGAAGGGCCAAGTGGAGGAGAGAGGAGAAGCTGCGGAACCAGCGGAGGCAGGCGAGCAGCACCCCCAGCCACATCCCCATCAGCAGCAGCTTCAGCACCAGTGTCTACCAGCCCATCCCGCAGCCCACCACCCCTGGTAACCAGCGTCCCGAGCCCCACCCGCAGCCCTGGCCTGGGCCCCGCTCACTGCTCCTGGTCTCTTCCTCTGCAGTGTCCTCCTTTGCGTCTGGCTCCATGCTGGGGCGTACAGACACGGCCCTCACCAACACCTACAGCGCGCTGCCCCCGATGCCCAGTTTCACCATGGCCAACAACCTGCCCATGCAGGTAAGTCAGTGCTGCTGGCCACAGGCCACAGAGGCAGGGTGGCTTCTCTCCTCGGAGTCTAGCCCTGATGGCCAGTCCAGCCCTTTGAGGAGGAGGAGTGGAGATGCACATGGGAGCCCACATGGCTTGGCCCCTCGAGTGGCTGCCCAGAGCCCAATGCTGTTCACGCAGGACAGGAATAGCCATGCTAGCTAGCGCCAGCCCAGGCTGGCCGTGCCTAGGACGGGGAGGTGCCCTCTTGGTGGTGGACAGTGGCCACAGTGGCCTTCCTGGTCTGGTGAGCCATGGCTGGAGGCGGCTGGTGTGAAATGGGAGACAGTGAGCTTTGCTGGATTGCAGATCCAGGTAACAGCCAAGCATATATCTGAGGGGCCTGGGATGCATCTAGCAGGGTGAGATACGCAGCCCCCAGGGCCCAGAGGAGGCTCGCCTTGCTTGTATCTGCGGGTTGCTGGCAGCCATGTCTGGTGCCCGCCTAGCCCCTGCCTGGAGTCCAGCTGCCTGGCCTGGGAGTCGGAGCTGAAGGCAGGGCAGGTGCGCGGGGCCTGTTAGCCTCACTGAGCCCCATGCCGGTGGTCTTGTGCTTTAATGAGGCCATGGTGTTGTGACAGTCACGTGTCTGGTATTTGAGAAGACAACAGGAAATAAGCAGCCGGACAGCACTGGGAGCCCCTTGTCGAGTGCGTTTGGGGGGTGGGGGACTGCAGTCACTTGGGACAGAGCTGTGAGCCCCAGCACAGCAGAGCATGTGGCCTTGGAGAAGCCCAAGCTCGGCTTCCGGAGTGGGGCTGTCTGTCTGTTCATCCTGGTGGCCAGCATTTTGCACAAGCTGGCCCAGTCCCTCGGGTGGGTCACCCCTGAGAACGGGGCCTCTGTGCACAGAGCATAGTAGCCCTGTCCCCTCCCTCCCAGCCAGCCTGATGCTTCTGTTCATTAACCCGAGTTGGCCCTCCTCTTTCTCAGCGCAGAGCAAGGACTCTGGGGGAGCGGCATGGCACTCTTGACGTGTCTGTGGGCCAGCCCAGTCAGTGGGGGCAGCTCTGTTCTCTGCTGCTGGCCGTGTCACCCAAGGGCCCCAGTCCGGACACCTCACATGCTCTGCCCTGGAATTTGGTGTTCCCCAAGAAAGCGGTAGGCTGCAGGAATTAGGTTTTCATGCCACAGGCTCTCTTAGGCTGCCACCAGAGGAGGGCAATGGCCAGAGGCCCTGGCCACATGGATGGCATGAGCCACCGTCTAAAGGCCGAGCTTTCTGAGTTGTTTTGTTTTGTTTTTTTTTGAGGCAGGTTCTCAGTATGTAGCCCAGGCTGGCCTTGAGCTTATGGCTGTCTTTTTGCCTCAGCCTCCCAAGTGCTGGGAGGACAGGTTTGTGCCACCACTCCTGGTTCCAGATGTTGGAAGTTGGTCAGTGTGTGGGCAGCTGGAGCTGGGCTGTGACTGGCAGGGGACAACCTCAGCATGAAGCTTTCGGCAGAGCTCAGACCCGCTCTTGGTGACCTGGCTCTCTCTCCCGCAGCCCCCTGTCCCCAGCCAGACCTCCTCGTACTCCTGCATGCTGCCCACCAGCCCGTCGGTGAATGGGCGGAGCTATGACACCTACACGCCCCCACACATGCAGACCCACATGAACAGTCAGCCCATGGGTGCCTCGGGGGCCACGTCCACAGGTGAGTCTTGGTGCCCTCAGGATGCACGCAGCTGACGCAGAGCCTCCCCTGAGGGCATGTTAGGCTTGCTGCCCTTGTCTCTGGGCACTACTTCCTGAATGGGGAGACAGAGTCACACCGTTGGTGACCTGAGCTCACGTGCACAGAAAGGAGTTTCTCCTCAACGGTGTGACTTAAGGTGCACGTGGCGACTGAGGTGTGCTGTGGTGGCGCCAGGCTCCTGGGGACCCTTCGGTGCTGTGCGGGCAGCTCCCTGCTGTCTTCCAGGCACAGCCCATGTGCATGCACATGGAAGCCTTTTCCTTTCCTTGTGGGCTGGGGGCTTGGGACTCAGTAGCTTTGTCTGCATCCCAGGTTGTCTATTTTCTTGTGCTTTGCTGTTTGAAAGATAATGCATAATTTTAATTTAATTTTTTTGAGATGGAGTCTTGCTTTTAGCCCAGACTGATCTTGAAGTCACTGTCCAGTGCAGTCTGACCTCTAACTCAGTGGCAGTCTATCTCAGCCTCCCAAGTGCTGGGAGGACACGTATGTGCCACCATGTGCAGCTTGGAAGAGTTGTGGCATTTTCACATGTGGATTTTTTTTTTCCTTTGTACGGGGGATCAAACTCGGGACCTTGCACTTGCCAGGCAGGCACTTTTACCACTGAGCCATCTCCCTGGTGCCAAGTTGTGGTGTTTTCAGAAATGCAGTGAACCATGTCCTGGAGATCTTCAAGCCGATACGCTCCTGGGCGTGGAGATGCTGTCCCTTGAAGAGAGCTCTTTTTCTGTCTCCCTAGGCCTCATTTCTCCCGGCGTGTCGGTTCCAGTCCAAGTTCCTGGAAGTGAACCTGATATGTCTCAGTATTGGCCAAGATTACAGTAAAGAAAGAAAAGGAAGCTGTGCTATTCGGCCAGTGACTTTCGTGGACACACAGGGCCTGGGAGAGACAAAAGCACGGTGGAAGGTGTGGAAGACCCCTGCTGGCCTGGGTGGGCCGGGCTCCCGCGGACCTCCGCACACGAAGGCGCGATCTCAGTTGGAACAAATCTTCATCTTGGTATCCAAACCTTTCTCCATTTTGGTGTATTCTTTGTAAATGGGCATTTGTATGTTATAACGAAAACACAAGAACAATGTAGACTGGTGGAGGCTTGACCCGGGTTGGTCATGAGGTTGTTTAAAGGAAAAAAAAAAAAAGAGGAAACCATGATCAACAAGATCTGCCACGAATTTCAGAGTTTTATCCAGATATATGGAGTCCTTCTACCCATCTGTTCCTAGTTTATGGGCCGATGCTCTGCATTTGTGTCACTCCTTGCGTATAATTAAACCTGGGACGACATGCACTACGTTTATGTAAGAAATACGTTGGTTTTTCCAAAGGTTGTTAACAGATGAAGTTTATGTGCAAAAAAGGGTAAGATATAAATTCAAGGAAGAAAAAAGTTGATAGCTAAAAGGTAGAGTGTGTCTTCGATATAATCCAATTTGTTTTATGTCAAAATGTAAGTATTTGTCTTCCCTAGAAATCCTCAGAATGATTTCTATAATAAAGTTAATTTCATTTATATTTGACAAGAATACTCTATAGATGTTTTATACACACTTTCATGCAGTCATACGCTCCTATTTTGGCCAGCAGAAGTTCATTGTTCTTAGATATAGCTGTGTTATTGTTCGCAGTCCAATCATTTGTGCATCTAGAATTCATTCCTAATCAATTAAAAGTGCTTGCAAGAGTTTTAAACCTAAGTGTTTTGAAGTGGTTCACAACTACATATCAGAATTAACCATTGTTGATTGTAAAAACCATGCCAAAGCCTTTGTATTTCCTTTATTATACCATTTTCTTTTTAACTTTATAGTGTGGTGTTACAAATCTTGTTTCCATGTTAGAATACCATTCTAAACCAATGTTTTTTTTTTTTGTTGTTGTTGTTGTTTTGTTTTCTATTTTACATTCTGAGCATCCTTAAAGAGATAATTCTCCCAGATAGGGTAAACTAGAAAAAGTTCCCCTTGCAGTTACGCGGCTCTGAGTCCCCTGCACCATAGCGGCCGTTTGCGGGGCAGGCCCCCAGGGGCCGGGCTCGGGCTCCACGCCTTCCGTGCCAAGGCAGCCTGAGGCCCGCTTCCTGAGGTAGAGGGTGTCCAGGCGGGCACTTCTTGCCTTGCCTCTTTCTGCAAGGGTTTCTTCACACACGTGCTGAGAAGTGACATTCTTCAACCAGAGCTCGAGCTGTCGCCCTTGCCCTGGCCTGACCCCCACTCATGTGTCCCCACTGCCCTGTCGTAGATGCTCCCTTGGGAGCCTGGCTTCAAGCCCCCATAGCCGGTGGAGGGTGCAGTGTGATCCCCGAGGCATAGTGAGCAGGACGACGCATCACCACAGCGCCTCTGGCGCCACCACGCAGTGGAGTGGCCACTGTGCTGGCACGGATGTGACCGCAGGTAGAGTGGCGGTGTGCAGGGCAAGTGGAGTAGGCCTGACCCCGTCGGTGCGGGAAGGCCTGAGCGTGACTGCCCTGTCTGCTGCGCAAGCTGTGCCCCACACAGAAGCCTCTTTCTGTGAGCCCTGGCGAGGCCCGGATGTTGGCCCTGCAGGCCTCTGGGGGAGAAGCCTTCCTCCCACTGCAGCCTGGTCACCTCTTATCTCTGAAGGCAGATGATCAAAAACGTAGAAATTAATCAGGGGATTGGAGCCTAACCTAACCCAGCACCTGCCACCCCGCAGTTCTGGGGACACTGGGAACAGCTCCCTGGTCAGGTCCCCCACCTGCCGTTCCCGAGTGCCTTCCTCCTGTGGATGTGCTTCCCATACCGGGTACCTCCTGCATCGGCTCTGGTGTGCATGTGTGCATGCCTTGGACGACTCTGCTCCCGAAGCCCTGCAGCCCCTACTCTCTGTGGCGGTGCCCAGGGGACTGTTGGAGACTTGGGCGTGGAGAGGAGGGACAGTTTCCAGGCAGCTATGAGGTGGACCAGGGTCTGGCTGCAGTCTGAGCACATGGCCAGTGGGGGCGGAGGTGGGTGGGGGGTGCTGCCTCCTATAGCCATGACCAAGGAAGTGCGCAGCCTCTGTGCTGTGCAGGACTCGGGCGGCATGCACCAACCCTCAGGTGGCTGTGGCTGGCAGAGGGCCTTTGGCCTACTGACACGATAATTCATTTTTGTTGATTTACCTGCAGATAGGTGCATTTATATATTTACCAGTGGAACCCACAGGGACGTTTTGATGCTGGTCTCTGGGATGAAGGCCTCAGTAGAAACACTGAGTTAGCAGCCCAGGTTTCCTGCAGATTTGACTGACTTTGGGATGCCAGGTGGACAGAATGAGAGTGGAGTCACTCTAGTGGCAAATCACTGCTTAGTGGGGCAGAGTCCCCAAAGGGTTGTTCTGCAAGCAGTGGCTCCTCGGCTCTCCGCTCACCTCTCCCTACTCCCCAGACGATCTGGACAGCGCTGCTGCAGCTCGGCCTGGCTGTACACCTGTCACCCCACAGCGAGCCTGGCACCAGCTTACTTCTTTGTGCTTTAGGTCTTAAGTTTAGAAAGCCAAAAAGCCAAAAAAAAGCTTTTTTTAAATGCCCGTGTTAGCCTCAGTGAGGCCACATACATGCTCGTTCTCAAGAATGCACCTTTCGCTTTTTCGCCTCGAGCGGCTCAGTCTCGATGCTGCCAGCAGGAGCTCTCTGGAAGGCAGGAACACGGAATCTAGAGTGACATTCACAATGGGCTGAAACAAATGAACCAGGGCCCTCTCGTGTGCGCGGCATGTGCGCATGTGTCTCCCAGCCATGGAAATTAGAAGGTAGACCCGGAGCGGACGGCTGGTCTCTTCCTGGTGGAGGACTTTTACGCTGTCTTCTGTTCGTGTTTGGAGATCCTGGAGGTGGGGAGAAAGAATACAAGGAAGAGAGCAGGAGACCACGAGTGGATGTTAGCTGGGGGCTACTAGACAAATTCCGAAGAGCCCAGAGCCCCAGGACCTGAGCAGGTTGCAATAGTCAAAATATTTACCTCACATTGAAGAAAGGCAGATTTAGCGTAAGAAATGAGCAACACACAGGCTCTGAAGTCCAGCCGCTGGAAGCACTTAAAAGATGTGAGAACATTTCAAGACATCACATTGGGATTGTGCTTAAGTATTTATATCTTTGAGTCAAACTGGTGAGTGAAACATCTCTTAATAGAATATGTATCTTGCAACATATTGGAAGAAGAGTATGCATACATGCAGCAGCATTTTTAAAGACCATTATTTTCTGGAGGAAGGGGGTTGGGTTTTATCAGAGGAAAGCACAAATGTGAACTCTCTCTAGCAGGAGCAGCTCCCTTTCATACAGAATGTCCAGTGAGTCAGAAAAAACAAGGCTGATGTTTTGAAAGCCCAGCTTCCTTTATTGTTCAAGATGCATTTTACTGAGTTTGGGAAGTTCCTTTCACATCTCAAATAAGGCTCCACGCAGGTACACTGGATCCTAATAGCACTTATCTATGTGCCAGCATATATTAACTCGGAGGTGGTTGTTAATTTTATAGATATGGTATGGGGAAGTAAATCAATGACCTATTAAGTATTTTGACAAGCAATTTACATATCTGATGACCTTGCATTTCCTTTTCAGAGTCAAATGCTGTGTAATTGTTCTGTTGTGTGTTTGCATAAAATGAACCACAACACGGGAAGGAAAAGGTTAGAGTTATTAAAATCATAACCCGACTAAAATATTCATCTGGATTTACTCAGACAGCTCCCAACGCCTTCAGAGGCCACAGCAAAGCTTTTGTGGGGCCTGCACAATGTTATTATCTAGAGACTGAACTGATTTTTGAAGTTGCTTCACGTCTTAAAAGCACTTCTCCTTAACAGAAAAGCCCTTTAATTTTAACTGACAGATCAATCCTGGAACTTTATTTTGAAAAGAAAATGGAGAAGAATTTGTGTCTTTAGAATTAAAGTAGATGGAAAAAAATAAACCAGACATTCTAAAAAAAAAAAAGAAAAAAAAGAAAAAAAAAACCCAATTTTTTAGTACTAATGAAATAGTGGGTGACAAAATAGTTGTCTTTTTGATTTTGATCACAAAAAATAAACTGGTAGTGACAGGGTGTGATGGAGAGATTTGACACCCTGGCAAATCGCTGTCATCGATTCAATTATTCCAATTCCGAATGAAAGCTGTATACAGCTTGTGTTTATGCTACAGTGGGCTTTTTTTTTTTTTTTTTTTTTTTTTAAGTGACTGACATTCATCATACTGGTTAGACAGTTTTAAAAACCTAGTCTTTGTTTTCCACAATGTTGTCAAGAGCAAATAAAGTATAATTTGTGGTACATTAAAAGCAAACAGCTTAAAAACGCTAGCTACAACTGCTTCCAACTACTCAAATACGTTGGAGAATGCATTTTGGAAATGCGGTTTCTCCCAGTGGAGGTTAAATGTGTTTTAGAAAATTGAGATGCTTGTCTGAAGCATGCAAGTTACTTTTCCACTGTCCCTTTTTGTCCATTATTTGTCAAAGGCTTTGAGAAAATGGAAATGTGATTTCAAAACCCACGTTTCGTACGAGAGCGGCCCACTAGGCTGCGCGCCCCGAGGCGGGTTGCGCGCTCTCAATTTCGCATACTCACCCACGCTCACAATTAGCAGAGCCCTGGCGAGGAGGCGGAAACCCGAGTTGGTTTCCTCTCTGCACCCTGCCCGAGGCCGCGTTCGGTGGCGCGCTCCAGGGTCCTCCTGGGGTCTCCCTCCCCGGCGCCCGCAGGAGCGTGGCTGTCAGTTTGCATCTCGACCCTGCGCTGCGTCTGCTGACACAGTGTCCGAGCGCTGGCTTCAGTGCGCAGGACTGCTGGCCAGCTGGCCAGCCTCGTTCTGTGCTGCTGTCCGAGTCCCTCCGGTTATTACCTGCGCTGGCAGACAGATGAATAGAGGCCGAGTCCCAAAGATTTTCTCTTCATCATTTTAATAACAGGATACACAAATGCACATGTATTCCATAGGTCAGCAACAGAATTTCCTTAAAATACCCCAGCATTTCTGGGGACAGCTGACTTTCAGAAATAAAGAGACAACACTTTTGTATATGATTTGAATTCCTGTTTTATGTTACACCGGCACGCATTCCATCCACGCTGACACTCCAAGTAGCTCAGCATACACGCAGCAAAGACCACCACGAGGCAGTGTGATTTTTTATTTTTTTTTATTTTATTTTTTTACATTTATTGAAAAATAAATCACCTATTTTCTCTACACAGCAAAAGCCAAATTCCAAAATGAAAGTGCCCCTGCTATCCTATTCCTGTGTAGAAAGTTGCTTGAGAAGGCGAAGCCACTGGTAGCCCTCACGGTGTTCTCCGGGCATCACCAGGAGCAGCATTTCCATAAGCCGTCGGCAGCCCGAGAGCCCCCGCGCAGGCGGGCCCTAGAAGTCCAGGTGCGGCTCGCCCGCGGCCAGCGCGCTGCGGCAGGGGCCGGGCCGCGCGGCGGACGCCGCCACGTCCTGTTTGCCCTCTCGGCTCACCGTGTCTGACAGGTCTGGAGGCAAGCGCAGGCGCTGTGAGGGAGGTTCCGGGAGGGGAGAAAGAAGGGGAAAAATTAATATTGCTCTTGCCAGCATACTCTAGCAGACAACTCTGCTCTGCAGATCGGCATTTAGCCTTGCATATCAGATCCCTGCTACGACAGTTCCTCAGGCTGGAGCCCAAGACAACCACGCTGCGTTCTCAGGAGATTTTTACAAATTACAGACAGTGCAGAACTGGATCAAGGATCTTGGGGGAACGCTGCCGAGGCCAGACCTGCCATGCTGGTGTTTTTTATTTAGGTAGAGACAAGACAGATGTGCAGATACAGACGGAAAAAATGGCACGAATACCAGCAGCCCCACCCCTACCCGGGGCCTTTTTTTCTTTTGCGCGAGGGCTCCAAAACACTTTCTGAATCAAATGGAGGTTTTCAGGAATTACGGATGCCCACGAACGCCTGCTTCTCTGTCTGTCGGTTCACCTGAGGACTGCTTCAAGGCTACCCATTTTCTGGGCACTTCAGAGCGTCACAGAAATGGTAACTTGATGACAAAGGACAGCAGTCGCAGGATCGCTCCTCCACGCGCAGGTCGCCCGGCTGGGCTTGCGCTGCAAGCTGTGGGGGGTCTGCTCCTGTGCGTGCACTGGCTCACACTGTCCAGTCTCCTGTGGCTCTGAATACCCCACCCAGCCAACCCTCTCAGGTCCCAGTGAACAGGAGTAGACCCACCTGCTGACCACAGTTATATCTGGCATTGTAATGAGCGAGAACTAGTCATAGTTCATAAGAACTGTCTGGGTTTGCAAACGGTATCAGAGTTCTGTAACTATCCATACTCAAGCTCACAACTAGTTTCATAAAAATCCAAATTTAAAGGAAGAAATAGCTGGCTTTCCATATCAGTGAAATTCCCATCTAGATTCAGCCAACCACGGGCTGAAAACACCTGGTGCAGACCCTGCCCTGCCTTCACCCCCGGCCTTGGGCAATGCCCCTCCAAACCCCTGCCGGCAACAGGCAGCGCAGACATGGCTGAAAGAGTGGGAAGCATGCAAGTGACGCCAGAACCAAGCAGCCCCGGGATGGCCGTGGGCGCGCCAGGCTCAGGATCCCCCAGGCCCAGAGCCCCTCCCCAAGGTCCCAAGGGTGCTCACAGCTGCTCAGAGAGGCGCTGTGGGGCAGGCCAAGGAGACCCAGCCACATACTCTGCAGTGCTCAGGGAGCTGACCCAGATGCCCAGCCAAGACCCTTCCCTCGGAGCCGCCTTCATTATGAAACAGGAAGGAGAAGATAGAAAGAGGCCAGAGCCATTTGTGGTCCACAAGCATATGTTGCAGCCAGTGTCTTCCGATGAAAGGCTCATTTACTGTCGTGTAAGCACAAGCTGTCTGCAAATGCTCAAGATATTTTAATGCATTTAAAACAATTTATGAAAATCTCCCTGATCTCAGTTTGCCTGGACTTCTCTTTCCACACACACACATTTTGGAGGCTGTGACAGGCTCACAGTGGGCGAAGATGTCAGCGGGGCTGGCAGGTCGGCAAAGCTGTGGCACTGGCTGTGCTGTCCCTATGACACCCTCGTCCCGGTACCTGGAAGTCTACTTCATGGATGCTAAGAATATCTCCTTGTTTTAAATAAGTCTTTCCTTTCTTTATACTCTAGCTCGTCCCAGAAAGGATGTCAGGCAGAAAGGAGAGCGGGATGGCTGGAACTCCGGATGGCAGTGTGGCTCTCAGGCAGAGGCACCGGGGTTTTGGGGCATGGCCTCTTATTGCTGTCTGAGAGGAAGCAGGTCCTACGTGGGGTCTGAGTTCTCACATTTAAGACCTTGTCGTCACAGCTATGAGCACAGGCAAAGCACTAGGACGCACGCCTGATGGGACAGCTATGTGCAGCACGGACAAAGCCCTGGCCGATGCATGCCCCGCGTGCATACATCTGGTGGAAACCTCCCGCCTGAGGTCAGACGCCAACGGCGCTTTTCAGGAAGGGAGGGGCATTCACAAATGCCAAGAATAGGAGAGGCTCTGCACACCCCGTGTCCTGAGGGTCAGAGGGGACAGGCACACAGGGCGATAGCCAGGTCACACTGCTTGGAGAGGCAGGGGCAGGTGCTCCCCACTGCAGCAGGGCACGGGTGGGCTCCCGCCCAGCCACACAGCGCCTGCTCAGGTGCTGCCCTCTGCGTGCTGAGGGCCATGCCGTCCTCTCCCTCTGCTTCTTCCGGCAATAGTGGGAGCCAGCTGGCAGGGTCACTGGGTGTGACATGGGATCTGAGGCTCGGCAGGACAATTGCATCACTCACGTGTGCCACTGGGTGTAAAAGTTTGGGGTGACAGATACACTGTGCTGTCAGGTGCTCTGGGGCACTTCCTGAGGGTGGCACCTGGGGTGGGTACACTGGCGGGGTGCTGCCTGCCCCTGCGTATTGGCACTGAGGCTGAACAGCGTGCAGGCTGTGTTCTGAACCCCCACCCTTGAGGTGTCGCCCCAAGATGACGCGGCCGGGGGAAGGGAGCACAGCTTCCCGGCTGCCAGGTGTGTCAGACCTCCCTGCGGCCCCTCACCTGCGACGCATGTGTGTTCAGAGCTGCTGTGACCCAGATCTGTCATCTGAGAAGCGCGCTCTGCGACCTCCTTTGGACGACAACTCTGGCTTCGGGGGATGTCAGCTGAAGACAGCCAGGCTGCACCGAGTGAGGCTCCAACTAAACATCAGACTACAAGGAAATTGCCTGGGCTCTGAGTGTGACGCTGTTTTCCAGCTGTCAGCCTAACCCAAGTGCTTCTCTTTCCTGTTCACGCTGCAGCCTGATGCAAGGCTCAGGGCCCAGTGTCTGCTCTGGCTCCTTTCCTTGCACTCGGGAGGAAGGGGCCTGAGGATGCAGTGCTGTCTCCGGTTCCCTATCTTGAATGGTAGTGCTATGCCTGTGAGAGGCGGGCAGCTCCCAGGATTCCAGCACAGGCCTGCTGACGGTGACCCCCTGGGTGGGATGGAGGGTGGATGGGGCTGCTGTCACAGGCACCGCAGGAGCCCAGGGCCAGCAGAGGTCCTCCCCGGCTGCCCTACCCGAGATGCCTTCTGAGCTGGCAACAAGACTATGCCTGAAACACAGTGGCATTTCTGGCTCAGGGCACCCACCCCCCGCACCCCTTGGCCTGCCAGATGCAGCTGGAGGCAGGATCCCAGACAGGAGAAGGCACAGGACAACAGTGTAGGTGACCCCTGGTGAGAGAGGCAACTGCACGGAAAGCCAGGACAAGAAGGTCCAGCTGCCCACACTCCGCCTCGGCGGACCCCAGGCTGGTTGGTTGTGGGGAGCAGGTGACAGCACTTTAACCCTTAGCAGATGACAGAGATGTGCCTGCATCCTTCACACACTGTCTGACCCCTAGAAAGTCACAATCTGTGTTGCTCAGGATCACAGAAGTAGGCATCAGGGCTCCAGAGTGTGGGTGGCATATAGTTTCCTTTTCTTTTCTTTTCTTTTTTTCATTGGTACAGGGTCTCACTATGCAGCTCATACTCACAGTGATCCTCCTGTTTTCAGCCTCCTCAGTCCTGAGATTACAGGTGCACGCTACCATACCTGGACTCACTTGAGGGCTCAGTGCACCCTGCCATGCAGGACCAGGAATCGAATCCCTGGTCCCTGCACTTTCCAAAGCAGGCACTTGGTCTGCTGAGCTATCTCGCCAGCCCTTCTTTCTTTGCTTTAAAACACTCGAATGTTACTGAACACATGGATGGGGTGTGGCTCCAGGGACCCTCAAGGTGCCGCCATGCCTGGTGAACCTGGGGACACCTTCCTGTCCTCCCCCTAGTGGCCTGGATGAACCAGGCTGTGTGGGGTGCACCCATCCCTCTTGGGGCGCTGCCAGGAGCAAGCGCATGTGCGGTGTTTTGTGAAGTACCAGGTACATGCTCTGGTGTCTGTGCCTCCTGCTGACCATGACAGGGAGAGGACAAGGGGACGAGTGTGTTCATTAGGCCAGGGACAGGGCTGTAGGCCTCAGGGCGCTGGCAACAGAGCTGCCCATGGAACAGCCTGTGAAGGAACATCAGGGATGGGCGTCTCGCCTGTGTCTTGAAGGTGCTCTCTGCTACACTTCGCAGAGCAAGGGGAGTGCGCGATGGATGCGATCGGCCTGGGAAGTCCTGGGGCCGTGACTCGCCAGGCCTGGACCTGAGCCCTGGTCTCTGGTACCTGGGCTGAAGGCAGATTCGGAGCGCACACCCTTGGGGCTTGGGTCTGGGGTGCCTGCCTTGTGTACACCAGAACCTAGGCCTTGGCTCAGCAACGCACAGAGGAGAGGGAGATGGTATAAAGGCTGCTCAGCAAATCCAGTCACGGATACTGGGGGGCAGCAGTAACAGGTCATCATCCCATGAGGGCTGTGGGGAGCGGCGCTCCCAGGAGCAGTGGGAGCACAGTCTACAGCCGGCCAGAGGCTCCGTCTGGCTCCCAAGCTTGTGACTATGATGTCCCTGGCACTTGGGGCAGTGCTGGAGCAGTGTCTGCATATCTGCCCCTTCCCAGGGAATGCCTGATTCCCACCAGAGCACTGGGAGGATGGGACAGACACAGGCTAGATGTGCTGGCTGCTGCTGTTCTGCAAGAGGCTTCAGCACACTGCTGCAGCCCCAAGAACCCCAAGGTGGAGCTGCCCGTGAGCTGGAGATTCCGCCTCGCGCTCCTGTTGCTTCATGGTCATCACAGGGTCATGTCCGTCGGGACTGCTCTGCATTTGGAGAAAATTTTGCAGTGGGGATGGAAGGTGCTTTGGCCCATCCTGGTGACTCTTGGTGGAGAGACAAGGCCAGGACCAAAGCTTCGCCCCTTCTCCTGGGCCGGCGACACCTTCAGTAGGAGTGGCGGATTTTGGAAGGCAGCTGCTGGACACGGCCAGGCTTCGGTCTGCGTACAGTCCCTCACGTTCTGTGTCTCAGATGCTACAGCTGTGCAGGATGTTCTGAGCTCCAATCCATGCAGCACTTCCTGAGGGGCCGGAGGAGGAGAAAC